TACCATCCCTGACTTCAAACTCTATTACAGAGCTACAGTATTGAAAACAGCTTGGTATTGGCATAAAAACAGAGAAGTCGACCTATGGAATCAAATAGAAGACCCGGATATTAATCCACAAACCTATGAACACCTAATTTTCGACAAGGGAGCTAAAGGTATACAATGGAAGAAGGAAAGCATCTTTAACAAATGGTGCTGACATAACTGGATGTCAACCTGTAGAAGAATGAAAGTAGATCCATATCTATCACCATGCACAAAACTCAAGTCCAAGTGCATTAAAGACATCAAAATTAATCCGACCACTTTGAACCTGATAGAAGAGAAAGTGGGAAGTAGTCTACAAGATATAGGCACAGAAGACCACTTTCTATGTAGAACCCCAGTAGCACAGACAATAAAAGAATCAATGAATAAATGGGACCTCCTGAAACTGAGAAGCTTCTGTAAAGCAAAAAACACACTGTCAGTAAGACAAAAAGGTTACCTTCGGACTGGGAGAAGATCTTCACCAACCCCTCATCAGACAAAGATCTGAACTCCAAAATATACAACGAACTCAAGAAACTAGACACTAAAACTCTATTTAACCCAATTAAAAAATGGGGTACTGAACTGAACAGAGAATTCACAACAGATGAACTCCGAATGGCCAAAAGGCACATAAGGACATGTTCAACCTCCTTAACGATCAGGGAATTGCAAATTAAAACCACTTTGAGATACCATCTTGCACCTGTCAGAATAGCGAATCTCAAAAACACCAATGACAGCCTATGCAGGAGAGGATGTGCAGAGGAACACTCATCCATTGTTGGTGGGAATGCAAACTTGTGCAGCCACTGTGAAAATCAGTGTGGTGGTTTCTCAGGAAACTGGGAGTCAACCTCCCTCAGGATCCAGCAATTCCACTCTTGGGAATATACCCAAGAGATGCCCTATCATATCACAAAAACATTTGTTCAACTATGTTCATAGCTGCACTATTTGTAATAGCCAGAACCTGGAAACAACCTAGGTGCCCCTCAATAGAAGAATGGTTAAAAAAGGTGTGGAACTTATACACATTAGAGTTTTACTCAGCGGTAAAAAACAATGACATCTTGAATTTTGCATGCAAATGGATGGAAATAAAAAACGCTTTACTGAGTGAGGTAAGCCAGACCCAAAAAGAGGAATATGGTATGTACTCACTCATAAGTGGATTCTAGCCATAGTTAAAGGTCTTTGAGCCTATAATTCATGATCCTAGAGAGGCTAAATAAGAAAATGAACCTGAAGAAAATCATATAGTTGTCCTCCTAGATATTGGAAGTAGACAAGATTGCCAGGTAAACTTGGGTGCATGGGGGCTGGGGCTGGAAGTAAGGGGAGAGTGCTAGAGAGAAAGGAAGGGGGGAGTATTGGGGATGGCTTGGGGGAATGGGGTGAGGGGAGGGAAGAAGGATGAATATGGGAGCAGGGAAGTATATATTTCAACTAAGGGAGCCATTTTAGGGTTTGCAAGAGACTTCATTTGGAGGGGTTCCCAGACCCAAGGAGAGGTCCCCAGATTGTTCCCTGGGCAGCAGAGAAGTGGGTGCCTGAACTGGCCTTGGCCCATAACCATACTGATGAATATTTTGCATATCACCATAGAACCTTCATCTGGCGATGGATGGAGATAGAGAAAGAGACACATATTGGAGCACTGGACTTAACACCCTAGATCCAAATGAGAAGCAGAAGGAGGGAGAAAGTGAGCAAGAAAGGCAGGACCAGAGGGAACCTTCATCTGACGATAGATGGAGATAGAGATGGAGACCCACATTGGAGCACTGGACTGAGTCCCCAGCGTCCAAATGAGGAGCAGAACGAGGGAGAACATGAAAAAGGAAATCAGAACCGCGAGGTATGCGTTCACCCTCTGATACAAGGGGACTGATCGAATGAGAGCTCACCAAGGCCAGCTGGACTGGGACTGAACGAGCATGTGATCAAACCGGATTCTCTGAATGTGGCTGACATGGGGCTGACTGAGAAGCCATTGACAATGGCACTGGATCTTGTTTTGTCTGCATGTACTGGCTTTTTGGGATCCTAGTCTGTTTGGATGATCACCTTCCTAGACCTGGAGGGAGCGGGGAGGACCTTAAACTTTCCACAGGGCAGGAAACGCTGACTGTTCTTAGGTGTGGAGATGAAGGAGGAGATGGAGTAGGGGGGAGGAGGAGAGGAAGTGGGGTAATGGGAGGGTATGGGGAGGAGGGGAGGAAGTGGAAATTTTTATAAACAAATAAATTAATTAATTTAAATAATAAATAAATAAATTTAACTCTCATTTTACTTTTACAGGATTCCATAGAAAGAACATCATCCCCACGACAGTTCAAAGCAATTCTAGAAGATGACATCCCCTCTCCCAACAAAGTTTGTCCTTAGGGTTAGGGACACCATTTTGGGGACGATTATAACTCATATATGGTTGGGAGTTAGGGTAGAAATTATGGAGCCCCAAAGATCTAAAAACAAAAAAAAAAACAAAAAAAAGAATAAAGAGGTAAAACTGAATGGGATGATAGGTAGATTAGTGTGAACTTACTCACACTAATAATAATAATAGTGACTAATAGAGTGAATACTTGTGAGCTATTATTTATGGAAAATTTACATTGGCATAGATTTTTGTATATTGATATAAGTTCAAATTCTATTTGTTATATTGAATATGCTCTGATTTCTGCTTAACTATATAATGTATACCAATGCAAAGTTATTTTTTCAGATTGTATACATGCATGCTTCTACTTGTGTTTAGCATATTTTATATATTTACACAATTTTAGGATATATTTATCATATTACATGATATATTTCTACCTGTGATCAAGATATTTATACATTGTTTATATTTTGAGGTGAGTGTACTCATCTGTTGCACAGCTGTTTAAAGATTGATTAATATCCTAATATGAAGCCTTAGTCTTTAAGTTATACAGGTATTAAGTATTATAGGTAAATAGTCATTCATGTTTGTCATACTTATAGTTAAACTAATCAGGTTCTTTAGATACATAGAGATAGATTGTGCCTATCCACGTAGATAGGTAATCTTTAACCATTTCAAAGATCTATAGAACATGGCATTTAAATAATTTAAGATTCTATCAATGTGAGACATTATTGCTCTTGGCAGCATTAATCTATTCCTGGAGAGTGTTGTGCACCAAAGACACTCCACTTGAAGTTTGTTTTCTTCTTGGCACAATTGACTTTTTGCCTATGCCTTGACAAATGACAAAGTGCACAATGTCCAGACTTGACCCAACAGGATAAAGAAATAAGACTGCCAATCCTTGCCAAGACAGGGTAAGACAGTTCTGAAATTTTTCCTGCCTCTGAAAATGGTCTGTCTGTTACTCTAGGTCTTAGCCAAAGTGAGTTTCTTCAACATTGCAAATGAGACTTTGAGTGATTACCTAAGCAGCCAGTTGTCTCTGTCATCTACTGTACATTTTGGAAGCTGCTTGATTGTACTTCCTGCCTACTCAAGTAATATTATCTCCCTTCTCCAGTCTTCAATGTGGTTGAAGACTAGATAGTCATCATTACCATCCTCTTATGATCTAGCCAAGCCATTTTTACTACAATTTTAGACTTCTTAGGATAGAATGTTTATTAAAACATTAGGATATCTGCCTTGCTTAATATTATTTATGCTGGTTGTAATTCTAACTTTATACTTGATATCTGTTCCTAGTGTACATAGTTTTTTATTAGGTTTGGAACTCTCTTATTTAAAAAAAAGGAGAGGTGCTATGGGAGTTCCTTCAGCCAATAGCCTTTAAGATACCAGCTCACTTGGGCATGGTCTCTTAAAGTATAAATGCAGCTATAAAGAGTATGCTGGCTCTCTCTCTCTCTTTGGACTCTCATTTCAGGCTGCTAGCTTCAGTTCCTGCTTTCCATTGAGGCAGAGTACTGTGATCTGTGAGCCTACCCCCAAATAAATAACACTTTATTATACATAATCCTGAGTAGTGTGGGATTATTTTGTAACTTCTATCATCAAGAGGGAGTATTTTTAAATAAATGAACATAAAATACACAAAATTATTTTTTCTTAATGGTCTTTTGAAACAATGTCTCTTATAGCCAACACTGACCTCAAACTAACCATACAAGCAAAGATGATCTAGAACCTCTGAAACTGACCCTATGTCTCAGAGCTGGGTTTGCAGTCAAGTGACACACTGTCAAGGTATTTTTAATTTTTAAAATAAGAGATATTTGAGACACACCCAAAGTACTTAAACATATCGATACGACCAGTTGATCATTTTAATGAAATGAAACCTTCAATGATCAGGTAAATGTATAGTCTATCAGTCTATTTAAATATATGCATTACTTAATGGCGAAACATTTTAAATATTCTCTACTAAGATTTTTGAAATCTATAGTGAATTCTAGTCCATCATAAGGAACCCTCTGTACTGCAGAGCACAGGACACCATCTTTCCTGACTGGCTGCACCCTGTAGATGCCCAGTCAGATTTGTGTAGCACTCAGTACTGTTCCTGTGACTCCAGCACTTGTATTCTCCCAGAACTCACTGATAGTTTTCTCCTTTGTCTCTCTTCTTGCAGTCAAGGGTAGGTAGATGACATACATTTTGGCACAACAGTAGAATAACACTACTATCCCTACTAATCACTGACCCCTGCATTATCAGATGTATCAAATGTGTTGCCCAGACAGAATTAAAAACCTGTAGTGCAAGTGTGAGCTACCCCTCCATTCCTCAGGGTAAAGTAGGGTAAAGAAGACATGGATGATGAACTAGGAGGCTGGAGAGGAAATGTCAGATGCAGGTCAATAAAGGACATAAGCAATAATCTAACTTTTAGTGAGTGTTCATGAGCCTAACACTGACATGGCAACATTGAGGAATGTGAGGTGCTGCAATGGGGTGGGTTTGTCAGAGGGTTTGTGGTTGAGATAAGAATGTTGGTTACCTGTTTAAGGTCTTCATAGTTCAAAAGCAGGAAGTTGTCCCTTTCTCTCATGGACAGCCAGGCACGGGTGTGCTCAAACCATGATCCATATAAAACTGTGTGAAGGGAGGAACAAAGTTGGCATAATAAGAAGACAGTAGTAGGGATTACAAGATATTTATCCCTCTATGAAAACATGAAATGCAAGGTTCATAGATATAGAAAACATGTTTATCATATCCCATAGAGAAGAAAAGAGATGTTGTGTTTAGTAGCTTTTAATGTTAACTTAACACAACATATAACTATCTTGAAAGAGAATTTGAATGAGGAATATTCTAGATTACATTGATCTGTGGGCACGTCTTTGAAAGGTAGTTCTTATAGTTCTTTAATATTGTAGAAAGGTGGAACACAATGTGGGCAACATAATTCCCTACTCATGGTAGTGTAGAAAAGTAGGGAAGAGAAAGTTAGCTGCAAGCAAGAAAGCAGGGCAAAAATATTGTCTCTCTGCTCTTGACTGTGAAATGTAGTGCTTTAATTTCCTACCAAAACTTTCCAATAATAAACTGTACCCTGGAGTTGTAAGCAAAACCAGAACTTTTCTCTCTGCTCATGGATTTTCTTTTATTCTAACCCTATGTTGTAATGCCCAAACATTGTTGACTGTTTTACTCTTTTTTCTTTGCTCTTTTGGGGGTCTGACACACAGCTCACAAATAAATCAGACATGGAGACTTATTCTTTATTATAAATGCCAGCCTTAGCTTTGCTTTTTTTCTAGTCAAAAATAAAATTATCCCATCCATATTTTGTCATTGGGCTTTTACCTTTTCCTATTTCTGCATATCTTTTCTTTCTTTCTTACTCTGTGACTAAACCCTGAAGTCATTCTCCTTGCTTTTCTCCTCCATCTCTTTTCTATGAGTTCTTTTTCTTTTTATTCTCTCTGCCTACCAGCCCTGCCTATCCTTTTTCCTGCCTCAATATTGCCTGTTTAGCTCTCTATTAGAACATCAGGCAAAGATTCACAGCTTCCCAGAGTTAAACAAATTAAACATAAAAGAATGCAACACATCTTTGAAACATTAAAATGAATGTTCCACAACATAAATGAGTGTAACATGTCTTAAAATAATATTCCATAACATCTCTATAAGTTGCTTCCTGTTGGAACAGATGCCAACTCAGATACATGTGGAAAGTAGGGCACCACAAAGACTAAAAAAGAATCTTTCCTCGGAATTCTTTAAGTAAACAAAGAAAGCACATTGAAATTGTCAAGCGAGAAACACCAAGTCTAATGTAATAGAAGGTCTGTCAGAACTGAGATTTCAACTGTGATTTTAAAAAGTAGGAGGAACTGGAAATTTGTATTTCAAGTTCTAAAGGTCAACCAATGACATCTCAACTACTGTACCCATTAAAGCCTCTTGTCTTAAGTGAAGGAGAAACAAAACTTTATATGCTAAATATATGTAAAATGAATTTATGAATTAATTTTGTACACAAAGGATGCTGTACAAAATATAATTATAGGAGCCTTTTAGACCAAAGGGAAAAATAGTTCTATCTATAAGACTGCAACAAGTATAAGTTAGCTTTAGCAGTCTATTTGACACAACTTGGAATTATCTGAGAAATTCCCAATTAAGATACTGTCCCTGTCAGATTGGTATGTGGCCACATGCATGAATTATATTTGATTAATGATTGCTATGGTATGACACAGCATATGTAGCTGGGACTGGGCTGTATGAGAAAGATAATTGAGCATGAGACACTGAAGAAGTTATCAAGCAGATTAGTAAAATGGTTTCTGCTTTATTTCCTTCTGAAGATTCTGCCCTGACTTTGCCCATAGATAGATTGAGACCTGAAAGTACAAGCCAGATAAACACTTTTTCCCCTACATTGCTTCTGGCAAAAGTGTTTTTATCACATAGACCGTAAAGCAAACTAGAACAACAGTAAAATAAGAAATAAAAGTAACACAGCCTGAGCACCTTGGCAAAATCTTCAAAATGACAGAAACCAGTAGACATCTTCCATTAGTTCCTGAATAGTAATGTCATTTTCTAATAAAGTATCACAGACAGAGAGATGGAAATAAAAATTGGGAAGTATACATTTGTTATACTTTATCATAAAAACACACGAAACCTTACAATGAAATGATGAATAAAGTTGTTCCAGGCAAATGGAGCTAGAAAACAAGTGAGTGTTGCTAATGTAATCTGATAAAATAGACTTAAAACAAAATCCAGTGAGAAAAAAATAAACAACACTTACTATTAATTAAAGGAAGACTTCAAGGAGAAAACTATACAATTTCAAACACAGGTGCACCCAGAAAATACTACTACATGAAAGGCCACAGGCTACCATCATGTGACATAGTAGTTTCACTTTTAACAATTAACCCATCGTTTCAATAGAAAGTAAATAGAATTAAATAACATCACAAGTAAAAATGGCCCTAAACAACATCTACAGAATATTGTCTCCAAACACTGTAGAATACACATTGTTCTCAGCAGCTCATGGAACATTCTCTAAAATAGATCATATATTAGAAAACAGAAAGTACCTTAACAAATATGGGGAAACTGAAATAATTCTTTATATTCTACCTGACAAGAATAAAATGACTATATATAAACAACATGAGAAACTCTAGAGGGTAAATAAACTCATGGACATTAAATACCTCACAACATAATTGTGAATGTGTCTTTGAAGAAATCAAGAGTAAAAAGATTCTTACAATAAAATGGAAATCAAAACACAACACACTTTCATCTGTGAGATGCAATGTAAACAGACCTAAGAGAGATGTTTAAAGGTCAATGTACCTACATTAAGAAATCAGTTAGATATCTAATAAATTAGTTAATGATTCACCTTAGGACTCTCTGGAAAAAGAACAAGCCAAATGTCAAAATCAGTAGCTGTAAAGTAAGCACAGACATTAATGAAATACATAATTTGAAAACAGCCCAACAGCAAAACAAATCAGAGAGTCAATAAAACAGGTGTGATTACTTCAAAATGTAAACAATTTTGACAAACCTTAAATAAACTAACCAAAGGGAGGAACAATTACCAAAACTAACACAATAAGACTTGAAAATGAAGCATTATAACAATCACCAGTGAAATTAAGAAAATTATTAAAGTTTACGTTAAGAAATTCCACCAAACTGGGAAATCTAAAACATATGGATAAATTTCTATATAGATAAAAATACTAAAATTAAACTAAGATTACACTTAAAAAATAAACAGGTATATGGTGGGGAACAGGCTCAGCACTGTTCTACAGGACCAGGATTCAGTTTTCAGTATCCACATGATAGTTGCCAATGTACTCTTTCAGTCTCTATGGGCACCAGACACATACGCAGCAAAGACAAATACATGCAAGCAAAACACTTCTTCACAGAAAATAAAATGAACCTTAAAATTAATCAGGCCTAACCCTGCCCCCTTGTCTCCACCTCTGGATTAGGAGAGGGCACAGCAAAGACCAGGACTGAACAACTCAGCTACCACTGAGATCCAGATCCAGGGCCTTGAGTGGTTTACCTCAATATATACACTGTCAGTAAGCTTCTGGAGAAGGTGGAAAGGACAAGCCCTGTGGAACCATAGCTACAGGGTCAACATGAGTCTGATCAATAATAGACTATCCAAGATATCCAATAATATCCTCATCCAAGTCTAGATGAGGGGCCAGTATTGATGGTGTATCAGAAGTCAGAAACCATAAACGTGAACACAGCTCATTGCAATGAATATTTATAAGTAAAGCTGTTTGGGCAAAAGGGTAAACTTCATGACATATATTAGCTCCCGATACTGTTATGATGAACAAATATGTTATGGAAAGGTGGGAATGATGGAGTAGCAAAGTAGTACAAGTATGCGGGAACTGGAGACATGGTTGTCGTGATGGATATGAGGGAGGACTGGCTTTGATAGAGGAGCAGGTCATTGTGCAGAGGGATGAGTGAAATAGTTTGATTTTTTTGTTTGCTTTTCCTTTGTTTTTAAAATAAGTCTATTTATCTTTGTTTTACATTATAGCCTTAGTTTTTCCTCACTCATTTCCTCCCATCCCTCACCCTCACACCTCCTCTAGTATCATTCCAGGCATTCCTCTACCATTTCTGTTTAGGAAAGGGAGGGTCTCCCATGAATATCAACAAAACATTGCATATCAAGTTGTAGTAAGACTATATATCTCCCCATGTATTAAAGATGGACAAGGTGACCCAGTACAAGGAGTAGGGTCCCCAAAACCAGTAAAAAAGTCAGAGACATTCCATAAGAAGTTATCAGTTAGCAGTTCCATAAGAGAGTCACTCTACACAACTGTAACATATATGAAGAGGATCTATGTCAATCCCCTCTAGGCACCCTGGTTTTCAGTTCAGTGTCTGTGAGCTCTATGAGACCAGGATGATTCTGTGAGTTTTCTTCTGGTGTCCTTGACCTTTCTGGCACCTACAATCCTTTCTCATCATTTTCTGCAGGATTCCCTGAACTCCACCTAATGTTTGGCTATGGTCTGCATCTGTTCCCATCTGTTACTTGATGACGCCACTCTGATTACTGTTGGGCTAGGAACCAGTCTGGTCACAGGAGATGGCCAGTTCAGGCTACATATCTGATATTGCTAGGAGTCTAAGCTGGACTCTCCCTTATAGGTTCCTGGAAGATTTTCTTGTGCAAGGTTTTAAACTGACCCAGAAATGTTCCACCTTTTCAGTACTTTCACCAGTGTTCAAAGCAGCATTTTTCATGATGTCCAGAACCTGGAAACAACCTAGGAGCCCCTCAACCAATGAATGGATAAAGAACATTTGGTACATTTACTCAAAGGAATGTTACTCACCTGTTAAAAACAATGTCATCAGGAAATTTGAAAGAAAATGAATGAAATTTTAAAAATCATCCTGAGTGAGGAAACCCAGACTCGGAAAGGCAAAGATGGTATGTATGTACTCATAAGTGAATATTATCTGTAAAGTAAAAGATAACCATGCAACAATCAACAGACCCAGAGAGGCAAGGTTGCAAGGATTGCAAAAAGGGATATGTCCATAAAATGGGGAAAATAGAAGAAATCTCCTGAGTTGACTGGGTACTGGCATGGGTGGGAACATGATGGATTTTTACAGGGAGAATGTATGGAATGGGAGAGTATTTGAAATACATCTTGATGTGGGTATTTTAGGGTTAGATAGAAACCTAAACTATCTAACTAGGGATAGCTAGGGAAACTCATATGTTTCTAAAAGGATGTTCAAATCAATGACTAGCTACAGTGGATAGATAGCCTGAACTGGCCATCTCTTGTAATCAGGATGATAACAGCCCACCTTGTCATCAGAGAGTCATCATCCAGTGATGGATGGAAACAGATGCAGAGACCTACAGTAAAGCACTGGGCTTAACTGTGGGAATCCAGCTGAAGAGAGAGAGATGGATTGGAGGAGCCAGGTGGGTCAAGGTTATCACAAGGAAATCCACAGAAATGACTTACATGGGCTTATAGGAGGCCACAGGCTCTGGACTGACAGAGAGATTGCATGGAACTGACCTAGAGCCACTATATGTTTGACACTAGGTAGCTTGATTTACTTGGATTCCTAGCTGTAGAAGTTGGGCCTGTCCTTATTGCTTTGACTGACATTTAGGAACCTATTACTCATAGTAGGTTGCCTTGCTCAGCCTTAGTATAATGTGAGAAGTTTAGTCCTATCTCAACATGATATGTCATTCTAAGTTGACACCCATGCTGAGGCCTGTCACTTTCTGAACAGAGGAGAAGTGGGTTGGGAGGTAGAGAAGGGGGATAGGTAGGAAGAGGGAATGGGATGAGAAGAGAGAGGGGAAACTGAGGTCATGATATAAAGTAAATGAGCAAATTGAAAAAGAATCTATTTCCTCTCACACTCCGGTTCCACAACAGAAACATTAGAAAGGTTGGAGGCAAGGACTCAGCCTGGAGCCTTTGAGGACATACTACTGAGAAGCCACCCATACATGAGTGTTTTGACACCGAAAACAGAAAGCATAGGCTACAATTTCACTCAAAAGTAAGACTACTGGCTCTTTCTCCCCTCCCCCTGGGGCCGCAAGATTTCCCCAGAGCTCCTCCCTGGCACTCTGAGCCTGGGCTGTGGGCTCAGCCAGGCAGGGGCAGTTCCTGTGCTTTGAGAGCCTGCCTGACAGGCAGGCCCTGAATCACCTCAGCCACATTCCTGGCCAGCAAGAGACAGTGATCTTCTAGCAGACATCCATTGGAGGAGGGGTGAGTTTGCTCCTGGCCTGAGGTCTTCAGCTAGGAGGAATTCAGACTTTCCCCACGCCCCTCGAATTTCAGGCCATCCTGCAGTGGTGGCTATACCCTGCGGAGCTCTCCCGAATCCCATCCCAGCCTTCATCCAGGTACACCTTCCTCTCTTCCCTCCTTCCCCCTGGGGCCACAAGATCTCCCCAGAGCAGCTCCCTCGCACGATGGACCGGGGCTATGAGTGCAACCCAGGTAGGAAGGAGTGCCTGTGTTTCAATAGACTGCCTGAGGAATGATAGACATTCTGTCAGTGAAGTCCCTGCCCAACAAGGGAACCTGACCTGGTACCAGAAGATCCAATAAAGAGCAGTTGAAGGAAAAGATGGGCAGACACCAAGGCAAGAACTCCTCCAACAATCTAAAAAACAAAGTGAAATCACCAGATCCCAACAACCCTACAATAGAAGGACTTGAACCTCTTAATTCAGAAGAATTGGGAAAAAAATGCGATGATGAAAGCAATAGAGTCCCTTAAACAGGATATGAATAATTCCCTTAAAGAACTGGATGAGAAGTACAACAAAAGGATTGAAGAAATGAGTAAAGAAATGGATGAGAAGTATAACAAAAAGTTTGAAGAAATGAGTAAATCCGTGAATGATACACTGGGAAACCAAGAAAAAACAATCAAACAGGTAATGGAAACAATTCAAGAATTGAAAACTGAAATGGAGGCAATGAAGAAAACACAAAACAAGGGCCGGCTGGATATGGAAAATCTAGGTAAACGAACAGAGACTACAGAATCAAGCATAACCAATAGGATACATGAGATGGAAGAACGAATCTCAGATTATAAAGACACCATAGAGAAAATAAATGCTCAGATCAAAGAAAACAGCAAATCCAACAAATTCTCATCACAAAACATTCAAGAAATCTAGGACACAATAAAAAAACCAAATCTAATAGGGATAGAAGAAGGAGAAGAACTGCAGATCAAAGGCCCAGAAAATATATTCAACAAAATTATAGAAGAAAACTTTCCCAACCTAAAGAACGATATTCCTATGAAGGTTCAAAAAGCATACAGAACACTGAATAAACTGGATAAAAAAACCATCCCCTCGCTATATAATAATCAAAACACAAAACATACAAATTAAAGAAAGAATATTAAGAGCTGCAAAGGAAAAAGGTCAAGTAACTTATAAAGGTAAACCTATCAGACTTACACCAGACTTCTCTATGGAAACCATGAAAGCAAGAAGGTCCTGGATAGAGGTACTGCAGAAACTAAGAGACCATGGATGCAAACCCAGACTATTATACCCAGCTAAGCTATCATTCACTATCAATGGAGAAAACAAAGTATTCCAGGATAAGAACAAATTTAAACAATTCATAACCACAAACCCAGCCTTACAGAAAGTAATAGAAGGAAAATCACAACCCAAGGAATCCAACATTGCCAACACTGCCTAAAATAACTCAGACATCTAGCGACCCTTCACGAACTTAACTCAAAGAAGGGACACATACAAACTCTATTAAACAAACAAACAAAAAATAATAATAACCGGAGTCAACAACCACTGGTCATTAATATCACTTAATATTAATGGACTCAATTCACCTATAAAAAGACACAGACTAAGAGATTGGATACGAAAACAGGATCCAACATTCTGCTGTTTACAAGAAACATACCTCAAACACAAAGACAGACATCTAGTCAGAGTAAAGGGTTGGGAAAAGGTTTTTCAAGCAAATGGACCTAAGAAACAAGCAGGTGTAGCCATTCTAATTTCCAACAAAATTGACTTCAAACTAAAATCAATCAGAAGAGATGGAGATGGACATTTTATACTCATAACAGGAACAATTCACCAGGAGAAAGTCTCAATCCTGAATATCTATGCCCCTAATATAAGGCCTCCTACTTATGTAAAAGAAACACTTCTAGAACTCAAGGCAGTCATCAATCCACAGACACTAATAGTAGGAGACTTCAACACTCCTCTCTCACCAATGGACAGGTCAATCAGACAGAAACCTAGCAGAGAAATAAGAGAATTATTGGAGGTATTGAATCAAATGGACTTAACAGATATCTATAGAACATTAAACCCAAATAGGAAAGAATATACCTTCTTCTCTGCAGCTCATGGAACCCTCTCGAAAATTGACCACATACTGGGTAACAAAGCAAACTTCCACAGATACAAAGAAAATATTAGTAACCACCTGTGTCTTGTCAGATCACCATGGATTAAAGTTAGAATTCAACAACAATGCTTCCCCCAGGAAGCCAACAAACTCATGGAAGTTGAACAGTCAACTACTCAATCACCCCTGGGTCAAGGAAGAAACAAAGAAAGAAATTAAAGTCTTCCTTGAATTTAATGAAAATAAAGTCACAACATACTCAAACCTATGGGACACTATGAAAGCAGTGCTAAGAGGAAAGTTCATAGCACTAAGTGCCCAATTAAAGAAAACGGAGAAAACACACATTGGAGACTTAACAGCAAGACTTAACACTTGAAAGCTCTAGAAAAAAAAGAAGTTGATTCACCCAGAAGGAGTAGAAGATTGGAAATAATCAAACTGAGGGCTGAAATCAACAAAATAGAAATACAGAAAACAATCCAAAGAATCAATGAAACAAAAAGCTGGTTCTTGGATGGAAATAGAAAACGCTTTACTGAGTGAGGTAACCCAGATCCAAAAAGAGAAATATGGTATGTACTCACTCATAAGTGGATTCTTGCCATAGTTAAAGGTCTTTGAGTCTGTAATCTGTGATCCTAGAGAAGCTAAATAAGAAGGTGAATGCTACATCCATGGCTGTCTCGCCAGTGTAGCAGAAATGCTGACTAGGCAGGCAAGTGTTGCCGAGGACTTGGATCAGTGCTTCTCGGAGTTGAGTCCCTGGCTTCCCCATGGCAATCAGTTGTGGTGTAATGCCACCTGAGTTGCAGTTTGTACTGACTTGACTTTGCTGTCCTTGGAGCCATAATGTATGTCTTTTCCCTTGTCTGTGTGTTCTTTATGATCCTTGCATATTGTTAACAGATCAGACTATTCTGGGCAGTTTCGGATACAAACAAGACTGCTGAAAAAATTTTTGAATTCTGCCCCATCATTCATTAAAGCCTCAAAAGAAGTAACTAGCTCTGGGAATTGGCAGGATCATCATTAGGATAATTCCTTGATGATGTGGAATAAAAGGAGTTAATTTTACTAGGAAAAACCTCAGAAGCCTTCTACAGAAAAACAGTAATAGACATTTACTGCAATTCAACAGGAGGCCTATGCAGCCTTCCTTATGGCCAGAAAACCTAGACTGATAACAACATCTGAGCATCAGGAAGGGAGGAGAGTTGAAATCATGTCTTAGAAACTTCCTAGCAGAAAGTTTTCCCAGAAAGATAGTAGCCTTCTTCTTTCCCACCCAGGCACACAAGGTCACCTAGCTCAGACCAGCTGGCCACCTGGTATAAGCTGATAAAGAAGACCTAACTCAAGAACAGTGGTCTCTCTAATAACAAGAAAAAAGGGCTGACTTAACAGAATATGAGGGAGCAAAAGTCCTTGTACCCATGCCAAAGCATCTTCAAAGATTCTCTTTGTACAACTGTTTTGTGCTGATCTTTTCTATTTTATAATCTGATGATGTATGCCTTTACCAATTTCTTTGTTTGATTAAGATATAAAAAC